GTTAGACAGCGACTAGTGCACCCCTCTAGCTGACTGCCTCAACCATCATCTACCTACCTAAGCTCAACCCTAGTCTTCATGCAGTTAATGGTGGTGGGTAATTATGCACTGAAGCTCAGTGGTGAGAGAAAGCAACCAGAAACTGGCGACTCACCCAAAACCATGGATGTGCTCCCGAGACAAATTGCTCTGACCACGGTCACTGCAACACTAATAAAACAACAAATAGGACGAAACCCAAACAAATAATAAGGTCTACACCGAATTAGTGATGATATTTGAGACGGAAATTGCTTTTAATTGGGACAAACTTCTCTTTCGTTTTCTACAATCAACATCTGCAAATATTAAAACAAAATACTTGTTTGGTATTTTGAGCGTAGCTGCTAGAAAAGCAATTACAAAGAAATGGCTTAAGCTAAATGGCCCATCTATAGAGGAATGGTATGACATTATTTATGAAATCTATGTAATGGAAAGAATTACCTTTTCTTCTTAGTCACTGGAAGACTGTAATGGGCAATAAAACTGATAAAATGTCAAAAATGGAAGCAAGTTGCAACACAGACTTAGTTATTTAAAATACACTTTCTTAAAATAAGTATTTTGGTCACTTATTTGGGCTGAATTTAAGAATTTGTGAACTTAAAACAATGAAAAACTAAACCAAAAGACCAAAAGACATTACAGACATGTTTAAGGAGTACCAGGCCTATCTGGTCAAGTGGGAGTTAGCTGCCCAGAGCCAGAGCCAAACTTGCTGAAGCAACCTTAATACCACACATCTCTGGAAAACTCCCTGTTGATCAAAAAAGTAGCCTAACCCTTAAAATGTACAGTTAGGCTGTATATCATTCTTGTTTTACACATTCAAATATATATATTTGTATATATATATATATATATGTATATATATATATATGCAAAGTGACTCAGTACTTTATCATTGCACAAGAAACTGAAGATATATCTAGAAAAAAGAAATAAATGACTTTTCCTCAGGTACAGCATATGCACATGTCCCTCTAGTGTATATTTTTAGTTTCTATTATATATTCCACTTTACTTTTACAGTGTGCTTATTGTCATGACCTCCAGGCCTTTGTCTTGACTACAAACCTCATTTCAGGTCTATTATGGAAAGACCAATGTAGTAACCAAATCATGTCTGAGTGCGCACATGGGAACCAACATTTTGGAATTTTACTAATCTTTGTAAGATCAAATTTCAAAAGAAGTTGAACAGGAAGGAAATTTGGAGTAATGGTGCAGTGTGTATGTTGGTGCATATGTGGCACCACATACCACCAACTGATCAGTGATGATGACGCAGGAGGTGTCACCCTATAAAAGAAAGCTCTGACCCAGAAGGGGGGGCAGGGGGGTCTCAGTCAGCACTCGCCTTCAGCACACCGGTAAGACCAAAGCATCACATTAACATTGCATGTTCTGTTCTATCTCCAGTAGGTTTGATGATTTGATGATTGTGGTTAAGGTTCTCAGCCCAACCATCAGTGTGTGTATCAGCATGAAACTGATTTAATTAATGTATTAGTATTCTCATGCATGTGAAGACTATGTGACAAACAGTGGTCAGACTCACCACCAAATAATATAGTTTAGTGGTTAGACCATGGTGATTTGGAAAGGATCAACAGTCATAATGGAAAGTGCATAATCTACTGGAGGCTGTTTCAGCAGTGTTACATTAGAGTGTGAGTTAAGAGTAGCCGTCTTCACTCACCAAAAATCTACAGTAATCCTAGCAGTTCTGTGGGGATGCAATGTAAAGAAAACTGAATATTGAAACTTAGAATTAGGTTTGATTCTTAGCAATTCTGCTGAATAAATGTAATAATTCCATAGGGTGAAGTCAGAATAATCGTCTTTTGGAACCTATGCCATGTTGTGAGCATGAAAGTGTGAAAATATGTATAATAGTGAGTGAGTGAAAGGTTCATTGTGCAAGGATCCTGTAGGCAGAAAAGTCAACGTGTTAAGTCACATTTAAAAAAAATTATATTATATTGGATTGCGCATGGTGGGTGTAGAAAAAAGTTGGCTAGAGAAATGCAAGTCCTTGTGCTATTCAGGCTGAAACTATTTATAGTAGGGATGTCACAGTACCAGAAATGTAGTAGTCAATAGCAATGCCAGTGAAATTACATGTTTCTCAATACACATTTCAATACAATGGTTAAAAATATGGATGTTGCGATCAAGTTTTTTCCCTGGACCCCCATTTAATTTTGAATATCTGCTGATACTGAGGTTAAGCAGGTGACCCTACAAGAATTTCCAGAACCTGCAGGAGGAACCCAACTCTACATAATTGATCTATTGTTTCTGGACCAGTGTGTAGGATTTATTGGCATCTAGTGGTAAAGTTTCAAGTTGGAAACTCACAAAAAAGATCACCCCACTGTAACCCATGCCTACCGGATCTTTTTTTAATTTCAACTAATAATAATAATAATAAATCAGTATTCATATTTATTGTTATTATTATAACAAACAAACTTCACAGGTACATACACACACATCACTGTACATTCAAAACACGACCATAGATGTAAACAGCAGGCACTGATGAATTATTGATCAAAGAATTTAAAGTTTTTAATCTCTACAGGGTGCGCTGGTGTTGAGGTCAGAGTGACGTGGTCCCCAGCAACCACTGCCCAGCAGCTCAGTCAGCCTGTGTGTGTCCATGTGACAGAAAAGGGACAGGACATGGAGATGTTTCAGTACACAAATAATCCTAATTATTTGATTGTGACCAGTAAACATTTGCTTGAACGTATACTCTTAAACTGGCATTATTCAAATCTTGAATCTTTTCAGTAGCCTTGCTAGCTTGGCTATAGTAAATCTATGGTACTGCAGAAGAAGGTCAAAAGTGAAGAAGCGCATAACACTGTCCGTAGAAAAACTCTTTTTGTTAGTTTGTTAATCAAGCTGCCTACCCATATATATGAGGTACGACGAAGTTATCATGATGTCTTTCTCCATTTGACGGTATTACAGTGTATTGCGTCATCAAACGTTGCTGCATGACATCAACAAGTATGTCTTTGAAGGAATCAATAATATTAATTTAATGTGATTTATGCAAAAAAATACATAAATTAAAGCTGCAAGCAGCATTAAATGAAAAATCACAGAAAATGACCACGGAATTCAAAATGGCCAACTTTGACGGCACGCCACGGACACGCCCTTCAACGTACAGTCGCAAATAGCACGGCGTTCATTCAGCACCATCT